CGATCTCATCTGTATTCCCAAGACCTTCCCTAGGAATGACAAAGGGCCATGGGGGTCTGGCACACCACACTTAAGGAACATGTCAAGAGCCTCTCTTCTCAGCAACTCACACTAGCCTTCCTGCTTCCCTTGCTGCTCTGCAAGGACAGAGAAGCCCCTGGTGTGCCTCACAGCCTGGGAGCTAGACCTTGCCTGCATCCCTAAGCCAAATCCCCAGCTAAGCCCTCTTCAGTTTCTCACACACGGCACACATGTGGGAGAGGTCTGCAAGGGAAGCTGCTGTGGGGACTCTACCAGTTCCTCGTCTCTCTCCCCACTTTCGAGGGTTTGGTGACATTTCCACAGTGAAGGCCTTCCCTCTGTGCCTGCCTTCTGTTCTCTTTCCAGTAGTCACTTTGTGGTATCAGTCAGTCCACTTTTTCTTTTTCCTTTTTTTTCACTATCCTACCGAGGATCAGTCAGTCCTCTTAACTCCAGTTGTCAGAGGGGCCAGGAAACCCAGAAATTCTCCCTGCTAGGACCATCTGTTCTCCCTGAAGGCAAAGGGCAGAGTTAAGGGTTTCTAGACCTGTAGGCAATAAAATAAAATAAATATAGTATGCAAAAGAATCATGATGGATGGGTGAATGTGAATGAGATTCCTGGGTCCTAGACTCCGGTTCAAGTCTGGGTAAGGAGGAGCCAGGAAAGTGCATTTCCTACACACATCCCAGTTGGTCCTGATGAGGTGGTCTGCAGACAGCACTGACACTGAACTAGAATGTGAATGATGTGTCCTTGGGCCGCTAATGTCCAAATGAACATTCCTCTCAAATCTCCCTCAAGAATCACAAGGTCAGGGGCCCTCCTTTATGAAAAACTCTGCCACAGCAGTTCTTAACCTGGATTTCATGTTTTGTTTGTTTTTGAGATGGAGTCTCGCCCTGTCACCAGGCTGTAATGCAGTGGCACAATCTTGGCTTCCTGCAATCTCTACCTCCCCGGTTGAAGCGCTTCTCCTGCCTCAGCCTCCCAAGTAGCTGGGACTACAAGCATGTGCTACCACGCCCAACTAATTTTTTTATTTTTAGTAGAGACAGGGTTTCACCATGTTGGCCAGGATGGTCTCAACCTCTTTACCTCATGACCCACCTGCCTCGGCCTCCCAAAGTGCTGGGATCATAGGTATGAGTCACTGTGCCTGGCCTTTTTTTTTTAAGAGAGTCTCGCTCTGTTGCCCAGGCTGGAGTGCCATGGCATGCTCTCGGCTCACTGCAACCTCTGTCTCCTGGGTTCAAGCAATTCTCATGCCTCTGCTTCCCAGGTAGCTTGGATTGCAGGCACACGCCACCATACCCAGCTAATTTTTCTATTTTTAGTAGAGTCAGGATTTCACCATGTTGGCTATTCTGGTCTCAAACTCGTGGCCTCAAGTGATCCATCAGCCTCAGCCTCCCCAAATGCTGGGATTACAGGCGTGAGCCAATGTGCCCAGCCTCATCTTTGTTTTCTTTGACCACCTCCCCCACTAGGGTGTAAGCTTCTGTACAAAAAGGTTCAAATCTCACTTGATAGTGTGTGCTTAGCCAGACGTGGTGGCTCATGCCTGTAATCCTAGCACTCATGAAGGCTGAGACGGGAGTATGGTTTGAGCCCAGGAATTCAAGACCAGCCTGGGCAACACAGTGAGACTTTGTCTCTATTTAAAAAAAAAAAAAAAAAGATGATATGTGCTTAGCAGAAGACCTTGGCACATGGCCGGTGTGCTGTGAATATCTGATGAACACAAACTCTCTGGTTCCACAGGACAAAGTCACTTTTTTTTTTTTTTTTTTGGGAGATGCAGTCTCCTTCTGTCACCCAGGCTCCAGTGCAATGGCACGATCTCAGCTCACTGCAACCTCCACCACCTGGGTTCAATTCAAGCAATTCTCCCACCTCAGCCTTCTGAGAAGCTGGGATTACAGGTGTGCACCATGATGCCTGGCTAATTTTTTTTTGTATTTTTAGTAGAGATGGGGTTTCACCATGTTGGCCAGGCTGGTCTCGAACTCCTGAACTTAAGTGAGCCACTTTCACTAAGATGGTTATTTGCCTGTGGCAGGCCTAGAATGATGATAAGGCAGCTACCACAAGGATTTGGTTCTAACTCTGAGAACTCAATAACTCTCAGATCAGTGATGGAATTCCTGCTATTGGCTGAGCTCCCACACCCCAGGGGAGGGCCCAAGAGCCTCCAATCTGTCTGCTTCAGGAAACAGCAATGAGACTAACAGCCTCTTTCACACCACTATAAAGAAAAACAAAAAACAAAAACAAAGAAAAAAAATTCCCACTATTATAAAGAATAAAGAAAAACGGAAAAAAAAGAGACTAACGGCCTCTTCAACAGGGACTCTGAACAGGAAAGCCACTTTCCACCCAATCAGACTGAAGTACTCTCCTACAATTCTGAAGCTTTGCTACATGTTAGAATCACCGGGGAAATTAAAAAAACTCCTAGCCCTCAGACATACCCCATACCAATGAAATATGAACCTCTGAGGGTGCGACAGGTGATTCCAATGTGCAGCCAAGCTTGCGTCTGCCCCCGACTACACAGGACCATCTGGGAGCCCAGCACACAGAGGGGAAAGCCTGAGGCATGGGCCTATTTGTATCCAAGTTTGGTTTTATGAGAAAATGAACACAACTGCAAGAGAAATGGAGACACTTACAGGTGGCTCAGGCTGAATACCTTTAATTAACCTCACTGAGAGAACTGAAAACTACTTGACAGATTACATAATCAAGAAGTCAGAAATTCAGATCATCAAAAAGGGGGATTGTCACCTACCCCAAGGCCACAGATAGACAGGATTCTGGGTCTCAGATTGAGTCTGGGAGGTGGAACCCTGTGAAAGGCAGCTTTGACAGGTGGTATCTGTTGTACACCAGCTTCTGGGCCAGCTCTGCTCTCTTCTCAGGATCCAGACTGGGTGTGAGGGCAGAGAGCTGGCTCTGGAGAACACCGGAGGAACCCAAGTAGGGGCCAGGCTTAACCGAGGGCATCACTTAGAGTTTTTGGAGGGAAACTCCCACCGGCCTTGGCCCTTGCCACCAAAGTTCCGCACTCGATGGATAATCTGCAGCTGCTGCTCAATGGTGGAGGTGATGTTCACATCATCTGGGATGTGGACGTAACGGACATTGCGGCCTGTCACAAAGAGGTCATCCAGCTTGACCTGATGCCCCCAACGGTCTGTGTAGGTGACTTCAGCCAGACGGATGTTCATGAAAGCATCAACATTGTCTATGCGTCCGTGGGCCACGCTCTCATCCCGCAGGTCCACTGTGGTTACCCGGCCCTGGAGGCCCTGAAGTAGGATGATCAGGCTGTTCTCAGAGATGGTCCGCTCCTTTATTGAGTGGCTCACCGCCATTCTTCCACACTGGCTGCCTGCTTGCTGTGGACAAGAGCACACAGATGGCAACTACAGAAGGGTAGGGGGTACAGTTGCAAACTCACTTCTTCTAGGTTCTCAAACAAAATTCCCAACACGGACCACCTCTGCAATTTTTGTATCTGTGGACACAGATGGTGCCCCTACATGTCTCACAAAATCCTCACACCAACTTGCAAGCCAAGGATTACTTATACTCATTTTATGAAGGAGAAAAATATGGCTAGGCTGGCCAGGTGCAGTGGCACACAACTGTAGTCCTAGCTACTCAGGAGACTAAGGCAGGAGCTTCACTTGAGCCCAGGAGCTCTGCTGACCAGCCTGGGCAACATAGCGAGACCCCATCTCTAATTTTTTAAAGAAACCTACAAGAAAATGGTGAGCATTTCTATTGAGTCAAGGACAAGAAAATAATGCCTACTTTTTTTTTTTTTTGAGATGGAGTCTTACTCTGTTGCCAGGCTGGAATGCGGTGGCGTGATCCTTGTTCACTGCAACCTCCGCCACCTCCGCCTCCTAGGTTCAAGGGATTCTCTTGCCACAGCCTCCTGAGTAGTTGGGACTATAGGTGCATGACACCACACCTGGCTAATTTTTGTATTTTTAGTAGAGATGGCATTTCACCCTGTTGGCCAGGATGGTCTTGATCTCCTCACCTTATGATCCACCCACCTCGGACTCCCAAAGTATAAGGATTACAGACATGAGCCACAGCACCCAGCCAAATTTTTGTATTTTTAGTAGAGACAGGGTTTCACCATGTTGGCCAGGATGGTCTCGATCTCTTGACCTCATGATCCTCCTGCCTTGGCCTCCCAAAGTGCTGGGATTACAGGTGTGAGCCACCATGCCCAGCCAAGGATGCCTACTTTTATGGCTTCTAATCAACAGTAAAATGTAGGTAATGTTCAATACAATGTTCAAAAAATGATTACGGAAAGAAAAGAAAATAATTTAGAGAAACAATAATTATAAAGGAAGATCAATGTCCTTGTTCATCAATTATATGATTATCTACATTGAGAATTCAAGACAAATTATTAGGACTAACAACAAAAGTACGTATCATTCCTAATAATACATTAATTAAAAAAAATCATTTTTTAAAAAGAAAAATATGGCTAGGAAAGGTAACTTGCCCAAGGTCACAGTAGATAAGTGGAATTGCTGGAATTCAAACCTATAGCCACAGGCTGGCCGTGGTGGCTGACACTTGTAATCCCAGCACCTTGGGTGGCCTAGGCGGGTGGATTGCTTGAGGCCAGGAAGGAGTTCAGGACCAGCCTGGCCAATATGGTGAAATCCCGTCTCTACTAAAAATACAAAAATTAGCCGGGCGTGATGGTAGGCACCTGTAATCCCAGCTACTCAGGAGGCTGAGGCAGGAGAATGGCTTGAATCCAGCAGGTGGAGGCTGCAGTGGGCCAAGATCACAAGGTTACACCACTGCACTCCAGCCTGGGTGACAGAGCCAGACTGTCTCAAAAAAAAAAAAAAAAAATCCATAGCCACCTGGCTCCAAACCTTACACCAGATGTACATTATAATCACCTGGCAAGTTTCTTTTTTTTTTTTTAGCGAGAAAAAAAGAAAGAGAGAAAGAAAGAAAAAAAGAATTAAAAGAATGAAAGAGAGGAAGAAAGAGGAAGAGAAAACCTGGCAAGTTTTTAACCTGATCTCCCCAACACAGAGATTCTGATTTATTTGGTTGGGGGGTGGGGCCCAGGTATCCTATTTTGTAAAAGGTCCCCAGGTAACTCCAATGTGCTGAGGGGTCCTAGTTAGAAATGCATAATCTCAGGTCTCTCCCCAGGCCTGTTCTCAGAGCTTATCCACTCCTTCACCGAGTGGCTCACTGCCATTCTTCCACGCTGGCTGTAAACAGACTCTTCATTTTAAGCAGACCCCCCTACGTGAATTAGATACACATTAAGGTTTGAGAATCATTGGCTGACACCAATAGTTCTCAAACATTAGTGTGTATCAGAATCACCTGAGGGGCTTGTTATCTCAGCTTGCTGAGCCCCACTCCCAGTTTGACTCAGGCGGTCTGAGGTGGGGCCCAGAGATAAAGTGCATTTTTGTTTTTTTGAGACGGAATTTTGCTCTTGTTCCCCAGGCTGGCGTGATCTCAGCTCACCACAACCTCTGCCTCCCGGGTTCAAACAATTCTTCTGCCTCAGCCTCCCTAGTAGCTGGGATTACTGGCGCCTGCCACCACACCCGGCTAATTTTTTATTTTTAGTAGAGATGGGGTTTCGCCATGTTGGCCAGTCTGGTCTTGAACTCCTGTTCTCAGGTGATCCACCCACCTGAGCTTCCCAAAGTGCTGGAATTACATGCGTGGTCCAGCCGGATAAAGTGCATTTTGAACATGTTCCCAGGTGATGCTGCTGGTCAGTGGCCCACGCTGAGAACCATGCAGCTGTTATGTAAGTAGAAATTTAGGTAATGAGGCCCGGCAACCGGTAGGATATAAAGTACATAGGTTTTGAAGATACCTAATTCGACTCCCCACTCCACCCCTAACTATGTAAACCTAGAAGAGTTAATGTCTCTGAACCTGTTTCCACATTTATTAAATTACAGACGAAACAAGGCTACCAAAATCACACTCCACTGAAGGTACTCTCCGTTGATTTCAACATGCCCTGATATTGTATTAGTGTGCTGTCTTTCCTATCCCTTATTTTCAGACCCTGAGTTAAAGGGAGTGGAATGCTCTCTTTACGACCTCACTCAGAATCCCATCCAGGAAGGGCTGTGCAGTGTGGCACTGAGCGGGGCAAGCACTCTGACAATGATGAGGGGGGCTGGGAGCTAGGTCCCTGGGCAGGGCCTAACGTCCAGCCACCCTGGCTACAGCCTGACGAATCTGTGATCAAGCAAAGGTACGGGGCTGCCGCTGCGACTGCAAAGAGCAATCACCGGACCTCGAGACAGGCCCGAGTTCTAGGTCAGGCTCTGCCACCTCCTAGGAGGGAGACCACTTAGCAAACCATTTAGCTTCTCCGAGCTAGCTAAGCTACTGTAAAAAGAGAAAAGCACCCCTTGCTCAGAGCAGCGGGAGAGGGTCTGGGGAAATGAGCTATACGCGGTAAACGGGGAAGAAAACGCATCCTGGGCTCCGACACCTCCTTCCGGAGGTCCTGGTATCCCCCGCATTCCGCCCCGGAGCTCCCTGCACCGCCGACCCGGACCCACCACGCGGCATTCCTTCCACTTTCCCCGTCTGGGTCGCCGCCGTAGCTAGCGGGCGCCTGGCCGGACCGCCTCCCACCGGCCGCAGCAGGACTGAGACACCATGCCGGCGACCGGGCCGCTCTGTCCTCCCGGAGCGGACTGCGTCAGTGTGCGGATCGTCACCGCGGCCCGGAGAAACTACAATCCCCAGAATGCCTCGCGCTGCGCGGCTCGCGCTCCGCAAATCCCATCCTACGTCATTGGAGTCTCCTTCGCTGGAGGAGTTCATTCATTCCGCACGGATTCATTGAAGTGGTAGGTTCCTTCTCACGCTCCGGCACAGAGTGATGACCACAATCCAGTGACTTCCTGAACTGATGACGCTGCAGGGGAGTCTTAAGAAAACAAACGGCCCGGCGCGGTGGATCACGCCTGTAATCCCAGCACTTTGGGAGGCCGAGGCGGGTGGATCATGAGGTCAGGAGATCGAGACCATCCTGGTCAACAAGGTGAAACCCCGTCTCTACTAAAAAAAAAAAAAAAAAAAAATACAAAAATTAGCTGGGCATGGTAGTGGGCGCCTGTAGTCCCAGCTACTCGGGAGGCTGAGGCAGGAGAATTGCTTGAACCCAGAAGGCGGAGGTTGCGGTGAGCCGAGATCGTGCCATTGCACAGCGAAACTCCGTCTCAAAAAAAAAAAAAACAAAAAACAAAAAGAAAACAAAAATAGGGAAAAAGTTCTTCAGAAGATTAAAAGCGTGATGCAGTAGTGACGAGGTTATCTTTTATTGGACTGTCAGGGGTGTCCTGAGAAGGTTACATTTGAGTTGAGATTAGTGACATGAAGCCAAGCTTGTGAAAACTAGGGGAGGAGCACTGCAATTAGAGGGAACAGTTTGGTAAATAACATTTATAGGAGGCAAGGCCGGTGGCCCACGCCTGTAATCCCAACACTTTGAGAGGCCAAGGTGGGAGGATAACTGGAGCCCAGAAGTTCGAGACAGGTCTGGGCAACATAAGGAGACCCTGTCTCTACAAAAAATAGAAAAAGTTAGCCCACTGTGGTGGTACACACCTCTAGTCTCACCTACTTGGGCGGGTGAGGCAGGAGAATTGCCTGAACCTAGGAAGTGGAGGCTGCAGTGAGCCCAGATCGCACCACTGCACTCCAGCCTGGGTGACAGAGTAAGACTCTGTCTCAATTGGGGTGGGGGTGGGGAAAGAAGGCCGGGCGCGATGGCTGACGCCTGTAATCCTCCTAGCACTTTGGGAGGCCAAGGTGGGTGGATCACGAGGTGAAGAGATGGAGACCATGGTGAAACCCTGGCTCTACAAAAAAAAAAAAAAAAAAAAAAATTTGGAGACCATTTATTTGGACAGGGCTCCTGCACTAAGCCCAACAGATCAAACCAAAATGGAGTCACTCATGCTAAAGTTCCACATCACCAAGTGGCAACTAAGTTGTTTATCTGATATTCTGAGAAATCAGCAGAATGAGAGATAGCCAGTCTCCAAACTATTCAATTTTAGCTGGTAGGATAAGAAAGTCCCCTGTGCTTTAGTCTTCAACTTCCAAGGAAAGTAACTTTGAAACAACCAATCTGTTTTTGTTTTGTTTCTGCTCTCCTCAGCCCTTTTCTGTCTGAAAAACCAATAATCTCTGCTCAGCTCATTTGAACACGCATTCCATTTTATACAATGAGGTGTTGCCTGATTCTAGAATTGCAGATACAAGCCAAATTTAACATTAACAAATTTGGCAAATAAAAGCCAAATCACCAATTAAAAGTCAAATTTTTTCTTTTCCAGTTCATGCAAAGAACCCCAGGGAAACAACCTTGACAATTTAAGAAATAAAGGAAAGGCCAGGGAAGCTGGGGAGAGTAGTATAACAAGAGGCCAGAGAGAAAGCAGCAGCCAGAGTATGTACAGCTTTGTAAGCCAAAGTAAGTTTAGATTTTCTTTCTTTATTTTTATTTTTATTTTTATTTTTGAGATGGAGTCTCGTTTTGTTGCCCCAGGTTGGAGTGCAGGGGCACAATCTTGGCTCACTGCAACCTCTGCCTCCCAGGTTCAAGTGATCCTCCTGCCTCAGCCCCCCAGTAGCTGGGATTACAGGCATGTGCTACCATACCCGGCTAATTTTTGTATTTTTAGTAGAGATGGGTTTTTGCCATGTTGGCCAGGGTGGTCTCGAACTCCTGACCTCAGGTGGTCCACCTGACTCAGCCTCCCAAAATGCTGGGATTATAGGCCACTACACCCAGCCAGGAGTTTAGATTTCATGGTTAGGAGTACAGGCTCCAGATACAGTGCCTAGGGTTAAATCTGCTCCCTGCTAACTGTGACTTTGGGCAAGTTAGCTATCTTCTCTGTGTCTGTCTTCTCATCCAGTACTAGAAGTGCTATGATAGACTATTGAAAGGGAGCGACATGATTTGATTTATGTCACCCAGGCTGGAGTGAAGTGGTGTGATCATAGCTCACTGCAGCCTCAACTGATTTACATTTTTTAAAAGTCACTCATGCCTTTAGTCCACTTTGGGAGGCCGAGGCAGATGGATCACGAGGTCAGGATATTGAGGTTATCCTGGCCAACGTGATGAAACCCCGTCTTTACTAAAAATAAAATAGCTGGGTGTGGTGGTGCGTGCCTATAGTCCCAGCTACTCAGGAGGCTGAGGCAGGGGAATTGCTTGAATCCGGGTCGGAGATTGTGGTGAGCTGAGATTGAGCCACTGCACTACAGCCTGGCAACAAAGTGAGACTCCATCTCAAAAAAAAAAAAGTCACTCTGGATAGCCTTGGAAAAATTACTTTCTTCCTCAGCCTCAATTTTCTTATTATGACAATAAAAAATAAGGTCTTTCTCAGAGAATTTTAAGATGTGAGTGGTGTTCATTAATGTGTGAAAACACCTGGCACAGAGAAGAAGCTCAGCAAGTTAGGCTTCTTGGCTGGGCATGGTGGCTTACACCTGTAATCCCAACACTTTTGGAGGCCAACGCAGGAGGACTGTTTAAACTCAGGAGTTTGAGACCAGCCTGAGCAACATAGTGAGACCCAATCTCTTAAAAGTGTTTAAAAAAAAGCCGGGCGCGGTGGCTCAAGCCTGTAATCCCAGCGCTTTGGGAGGCCGAGGTGGGTGGATCACGAGGTCAAGAGATCGAGACCATCCTAGTCAACATGGTGAAACCCCGTCTCTACTAAAAATACGAAAAATTAGCTGGGCATAGTGGCGCGTGCCTGTAATCCCAGCTACTCAGGAGGCTGAGGCAGTAGAATTGCCTGAACCCGGGAGGCGGAGGTTGCAGTGAGCAGAGATCGCGCCATTGCACTCCAGCCTGGGTAACAAGAGCGAAACTCTGTCTCAAAAAAAAAAAGTTTTAAAAAAATAACTGGGTGTGGTGGGTGTGCTTATAGTCCTAGCTGTCACAAGACCCTTAGGGTGTCACTTTGCCAGCTGGAAACCTCTGTGGCTAGCATTGCCTGTGCTTGAGTTTTGTTTGTGCCTGCTGCGCTTATTCTGCTCACTGAGTCCAGCAGGCTGCGCTCAGCTCGCACTACAGGTCCAGATCCCACGCCTGCCAAGGGCGTGCCAGGTGTGGAGCAATGAGGGGTGTGTGAGCGAGTGAGCACAGGGTCTGTCCCCTGCACACAGCCATACTCACCAGCTGCTGCAGCGGGGTGGGCAGCTCCATGCACCAGCAGAGGAGCTGGCTCTATGCAAGCCTGGACCAGATGTACCACAATCAGCTTCTGCAAAGGGAACCAGCATCTGGAGTAGGGGAACACAGTGGTGGCTGAAAGCTTCAAGACACCAGGAACCACAGAGCCCCAAAGAGGGTGTTACAGTGTGTCACAGCCCTGCCTGGGGAGCCTTGAGGTCTGGACCCCAAGAAGGGCTGCAGCTCTTCTCTCCTCGCCACCCACCACGAGGAGCAGGGGCAGGGCATGTTTGGGAATGGGGCGTGTGTTTCAGCCATATGTGTTATGTCTTTTTCAGTCCCACCGCCCCACACTGCCCTACTCTGGCCCGTAGCTCCTGGGCTGACCAGCCCTGCCACTGCTTCCTGTCATGTGGTACAGCTACTGGTTGTTGGAGAGTGGGAGGGCTATAGTGTTAAAGCAGCTCTGGCTGGGAAAATCCGAAGGTCTGGGCCCCTAGAAGGGTCACCACTCTTCAATCCTGCAGTCTGGGAGTGTGTCACCACCTGCAGCTCAGCCAGCTGGTGGGGAGCATGTTATAGCTCCTTTCACTCCCACTGTTTGGCAGGTCCCAAGTTCTTGTCCTGCATCCAGGAAGAATGAGGTTATGTGGATAACTGGAGGGTGAGCAAGGTGGAGAGGAGCTTTATTGAGGGACAGAACATCTCTCAGGAGACCTGAAGTGGGTAGCTCCTTTCTGCAAGCAGGTCCTGTGGCCTGTCTGAGGCTGGCTGAGTCTGGGGTTTTCATGAGCTCAGAATGGAGAAAGTGCATGCTGGTTGGTCCGTGGGCGGCCATGGGTGGGCCTGGAAAGAGCACTATCCGATTGGCTGAAAGGCATCAGTGACGTTCTTACTCCTGTCCTGGACTCCACCTGGAACTGGCAGCCCAGCTCCCAGGCTTCAGGCCATCCCTAGCTTGAAGCTGGGGCTTCACTGGGGATCTGCCCCTTCTGCCTAGGAACCTGACTGCTTTCAGGCACTATTAACATGCCATCTGTTGGTGCCCTGGTTGCTTGGGCTGATGGGTGCCTGCAGGCCTGCACCAAGCCACCCTCAGTCCCCTGGCCTCCATCCCATGCTTCTTGGTGCCCAAAGTCTCAGGGGGTGCTGAGGCAGCAGGGGGCTGGTGTGTCAGTGTCACCCCAAGTGCATGCACACCCAGCTGGGTCACATCAGCACCTAGGCTTGGCCACAACTTTGCTTTGCACTGGAGTGGGCACCAGGAGTGGGGAGAGGCCAAGGAGCAGGAGCAGGCACTTCTGTGCCTTTGACGGCAGGGGCTTTCTGGGCCCTCAAGAGCACAGGGATGCACAGTCTGGAGCCATGGCTGGGCAGCTGCAGCTGTGCCCAGGAGTGCAGGCTCCATATCCCACCAGTTTGGTAAGGTGGCGGGCTCCTGCTGGTAACACCTGTTTTTGGCCCCTGCCAACTCCACGAAGCTTGCATCCCTGGCTGCGCCTCCGCTGCTGCAGCTGGCATTCTTGAAGTGGCTGCTCCAGATGGGCCACTGCTGCCATCACAGCTACTTGGGAGGCTGCAGCTGGAGGATCTCTTGAGCCTGGGAGGTTGAGGCTGCCATCAGCTATGATTGTGCCACTGCACTCCAGCCTGGGTGACAAAGACCCTGTCTCAAAAAAAAAAAAGTCTTCTTTCATTCCTTCACTCTTTCATTCATTGATTTCCATATCTCCTAGGAGGATTCCCCTTTTTTTTTTTTAATCAGCGATCACATTTGGGCTCTTCTTCTCCTAAAACTAAAATTGTCTTTCTCCTCCATGCAATCTACTGTTTTCTTATTTTCCACAGTCAAACTTCTCAGAGGCCCTTATGCCAGCCATTCCTCAAGT